TGATACATTTTTATGAACTGGTTTTAGATTTGCCGCTGTCAGGTCTCATAGTTTAATCAATTCCAGACCGGGTTTTTGTGTTATCTTCTTGGTTTGCGGCTGGTGCAATACGAGAATAAGCCCCAACCCCATGCCCACGTATAGCACGGGTTGGGATTTTGATATCTCATGGGTGATCCCAATGGCCCAAGGTGGTTGATAGATTTCCATACCACATCCCCAGCAGAACTCTCCTTATTTCAAACTTGGGCCAGTCATTCCTCCCTCACATCCTAATGCAGGGAGTGTATTTCCTGTGGTTTCAACTCTCATTCCCATGGGAAACTGAAACTCCAGGCCCTAGAAAGCAGGCACACTTACCAAATTTTCATAGGAATTTTTGCTTAATTCCTCCTCATTGATCATAGCATTCAAATTGTTCTTCATTTCTAGAACCTGGGGATTTCTCCTTTTTATGTACCAGCCTGGCAATGGATTTTTTTTTCAATGTATATCACCCTAAGCATCTCTCTGCAACTGGTGAGGGGAAGTCTCTTGATAGCTCAATCTATCAAATTGACCAGAAGACTTTGATTATGTATTTAGATATTAGTTTTCCCAAGTAGGGTCTGAGTTCATGGAGGACAGGAGACTTTGATTTGTCTTCAGATCCTAATTATTCATACAGTGCCCTGATCAGAGTGATAAGAAATAAGGATTCGATCAATTAATGAATAAATGAATTAATCTGCTTTCTCTCTCATTCTAAATAGAAATTAAAGACCATACACTAATTATCTTCTAGAGAAAGATTATGCCAAGAATGTCTGGAAAGCCATCCATACTGGAAGGCTGCGCTGAACAAACCAAGGAGTCTGGTTTTGGCTTCATCCTGCCCTTTGGCCAGCAGGTACATGCTATTGACACTACTTCTTTCTTGAACTGTAACTGCTGCTAATTACGCTGCTGGTCTGGTTGAAATTCCAAGTCCAGAATGATCAATAACACGCACTGTGCAATGACATAATTTTTCTCTTCACGCCATAAAGAGCTTGTAGAACAAGCTCACGTATTGAAAGCACTTAGCACAGAGTAGGCACTAAGTTAACATTTAGTGCCCTTTATTTCTTCTTATCCATTAATTCTATAAACATTTGTAGATAATCTATTGCCTCCTAGGCATTGCGCTTTGTGCTGGAGAAGAGGAATAATACACAGTCCCTGTTTTAATCCTTAATTAGAAAAAGAATGTCCATATCAAATTTGGCAATAGAAAAAAATTATCCTAAATGTCCTTCGATTTAAGGTAAAATATATCTCACTTCATCCTGCCACGCTAAAAACACTTAATAAAGTATAACCAGCAAAATAACTTCACCTATCGCTGTTTTATAAAATAAAGTTATCTCACCTCACAAAGCAAACACAACTCCCAGTGAATATAGTAGCAGACAAAAGAGAGCTGATCATGAAAGGCAATTTTTTACAATGATTTCTGAGCTCCTTTTACCACCAGAACCTAGAATCATGCTGGAACCAAAGTAAAAACTCAGTAAGTTTGTTGAATGTGAATATTTGCACACATATGTATGGATGTGGGTTCTCACTAGATGAGGTGTGACTCATTTCACATGTTTTTATTGAGGATTTCCTATTAACAAGAGTCTGTGCTAGATTTCATAAGGGAGACCAGAAAAAAAAGAAAAGGAACAAGACAAAGTCTTACCTACAAGGAACTTCCAGGCTTAAGGGCAAGACAGACAGGTATAAATATCACCATGATACAGTATAGAAAATGTGAAGAGAAGAACAGAGAATAGGGTATGAGAGTTCTAAAGAGGGAAAGACCACTTTCTGCTGAGGGATTAGATAAGAATGCAGATAAAACAGAATTTATGCTCAGTCCTGAAGTTCTTTGTAAGAAAATGAAATTTATTGTTTACAGATTTTGAGGCCAGGAAGTCCAAAGTACAGGGAATACATCTGGTGAAGGCCTTGGTGGTGACAGTAATGCAGGGGTCTCACATGGCAGAATAGCAGAGCAGAGAAAGAGACTCACGTGCTGTCCTTTTAAAGCCCTCAGAACCATGCCCATGACCACCATTATTAATTCATTCACTAGGGCACGGTCCTCAGAATCCAATCACCTCTCCAAGACCCTACCATTCAATTACCATAATAGGATTTCCCATCCTCTTAACAGCAATAAATTTCATTTTCTTACAAAGAACCCAATTCCAAGTATTTTGTTATAAGCAACAGAAACAGACTAATAGAGAAAATTGGTACCAGAGAAGTTGGGTGTTGCTCATAACAAATACTTGAAAATGTGGAAGCAGCTTTGGAACTGGGTATGGAGGAGAGGCTGGAAGAATTTGGAGGAACAGACTAAGAAAAGACTAGATGCTGGTGAAAGTTTAGAAGAAAAGAAAACCAGAGGAGGTTTGGAATGTTTTACAGACTAGTTAAATGGTGGTAACCAGAATGCTTATGGAAATATGGACTGTAAAGACCATTCTAAGGAGGTCTCAGATAGAAATGAGAAGGAACTTTTTGGAAACTGGGGCAAAGATCACTCTTGCTATGAACTGGCAAGGAACTTGGCTGCATTCTGTTCATGCCCTAAAGTTTTACGGAACTTCAAGGTACTGAACAAGGGTACTTGGTGGAAGAAATTTCTAAGCAGCAAAACATTTGAGATTGCATGGTTACTTGTAACAGCCTATGCTGGGTTATGGCAGAAAAGGCATGATGTAAAGCCAGTTTTAAATGGCAAGCCGAGTGTAAAGATTTAGAAAATTTGTAGCCTGACCATGTGGTAGAAAGTGGAGAGCATTTGCAGGAGAAAAATGCAATGGTGCAGCCCAGTGACCATTTGCTAAGGAGATTAATACAGAGGAAAGGGATTATTAAGAGAAGAGGAAAAAAGACCTTGAAGACATTTAAGAGATCTTGGAGGCTGTATCTTCTATATAGGTCCTGAGGCCTAGAGAGACAGAATACTCTTGGGGAACAGGCCCGAGGTGTCCTCCACAGGCTTGCTGCCAAGGGCCTCCTCGCGAAGCTGCTTCCCACACCAGCACCCCAGCTGCTTTGGCTGCTCTAGCTGTGGCTAAATTGGCGCCAGGTGTGGCTGGACCCACAGCTTCAGAAGACACAAGCTGGAAGCCTTGGTGGCATCCACACGGTGTTCGGTCTTCAGGCTCACAGAATGCCAGAACTGTGGAGTTTTGGGAGCCTTCACACTGATTTCACAGGATGTATGTACAAAAAAACCTGGGGGCCCAGGAAGAGATCTGTCACAGGGACTGAGACACCGCATAGAACCTTCGCTAGAGCAATGCCAAGCAAAAATGTGGGGTCGGAGTTACAGCAGAAAAACCCCACTAAGGCCATGCCTATTGGAGCTGTAGGAGTGGTACTGCTGTGGAGACCTCTGACTTGTAGGGCTACCAGCGTGCAATCCCAGCCTGCAAGAGCTAAAACATCACCTGAGACCAGGAAATCCACAGAAGCAGAGCTGCCTGAGGACTCAGAAGCCCAATCCCCACACCCATGTGCAGAGGACACTGGACAAGAAATGAAGGTACATGATTTGCCAGCTTTAAAACTTGATGCCTTCCTTGCTGGGTTTTGGCTGGTTTAGGATCTGTTACCCCTTTCTTTTGGCCTATTTCTCCCATTTTGAATGGGAATATGTACACTATGCTTGTCCCACCATTGTATCTTGGCATAGATAACTTATTCTGATTTCACAGATGGGACTTTGGACCTTTTGAGTTGAAACAAGTTAAGACTTTGGGGACGAAATAAATGTAATTACCTGTGAGAAGGACATAAACTTTGGGGGCCAGGGGCAGAATGATAAGGATTGAATTGTGTCCCCCAAGTTTTGTGTATTGAAGCTTAATCCCCACTGTAACTGTTGATGGTGGGAAATCCTATTATGGTCATTGAAAGGGAGGGTCTTGGAGAGGTGATTAGATTCTGAGGATCATGCCCTAGTGAATGGATTAATAATGGTGATCATGGGTTTGGTTCTGAGGGGTTTAAAAGGAGAGCACGTGAGCGTCTCTCTCTTTCTCTGTTTCTGCAATCTCACAGTGTGATTCCCTGTGTTGCTGAAGCCACCACCAAGAAAGACCCTCACCAGATGTGTTCCCTGGACTTTGGACTTCCCAGCCTCTGAAACTGTAAGCAATAAATTTCATTTTCTTACAAGAACCCAGTTCTAAGTATTTTGTTATAAGCAACAGAAATGGATTAATACAGAAGGAAGGGCAATCTGGGGAGAAAGAATGACAGACAAAAGCAGAAAGACAGAAAAGCACAGGATGTATAAGAAGAAATAGAAATCTGCCTGGAAATGCATACAGGGGCATAAAGGGGAATAAAGAAAGAAAGCCTGGAGAGGTAGATAGAGCAGACTGCAGGGCTTTGGATGTGTCCTCATTTACCACTCCAGGATGTAGTATCACTATAGAGTAGCTGGTGTTTAGCATATGGTGGGGCTTAATTAATGCTAAACAACCTCTTCATAGCAGGGACCCGTTCCCCATGTGCACACAGGAAGCTGCCGTTTATATGCACAGGCAATTACAAACATTCCAAATACTCTGTCCTGAACTCTGCAAACACATCAAATGCTCACTGTAAAAGGTCACCTAGCAAACAGCTCTGATCAATCCTGGCTGAGGCTGAATCAAATCCTCTAAATAAGATCCACTAGGTGTAGTGTCAGGAGGGTCAGAAACGACCCTATTTCACATCTTGAAGCATTTTTACCATGTGGAACACTTTAGAGAAAGAAGGGAAAGGAAAGAGGGGGGAAAACTCTCCAGAAATAATAGAATTCCAAGTAATTAAATGCTAAATGATCACAAAGTAAGATGGGGATTTATTTTGGCCCCAACCTCCTTCCAATGATCTGAAAACCAGTTGAATTCAAAGGAGGACACGCCAGGATTAAAAATGGAGTTTTGCACCTCCCTCCTCACCTTCCCCAAGTCCCCACTGTGTACCTTTGTCCAGTTCACTCGAAATGTTCCATGATGAGGTAGGCACTAATTCAGCAGTGACTGACAACTCTGTTTCTGAAAAGAAAAAAAAGGGAGGGGAGAAAGGGAGGGCAATATTAAATGCAGTAACTTACAGGCTGTTAGAAGCATTACTGGAGATTTCCAAAAAGAGAGCGATCACTGCAATCCCATAGCAGATTAAACTGGAATGGCTGCTCTGGCTGCCAGGCAGAGGTGCATGCATTTTAGAGGCCATCCAAATGAGCAATCTATAGGCCAGATTTGAAGATTTCTACTTGAAAACACTGGCTTGAAAATTAAATTTAAAAATATAATATTAATAAAAAAACAAACTTGCAGAAATGACCACACATTATCAAACATAAACTCTTCCTTTTTATTGCTAGAAGACCAGTCTTAGGCTAATATATTCAATAGCCTTCACATGAGAAATAAAAGTAATGTTGCTCCTGCTGCTAATTTCATTGGTTGTGTTTTTGAATTGGCAGCATTTCTATGAATAGAGAAATTGATTTCTCTACAATGGAACTTTAAGTCAAGACAAATGAAAGCTAAGTATTTGAATACAGAGAGTCATCAAATTTAAAAGATAATTTTCAAAACTACCATAAAGTAAAGCAAAAGTGCAAATCAACACTCTAAAAGACATAATACACTAAGGAGATTTAAAAACTCTTTAATAATAGACTATAATATACAAATAATGTTTGTTGTTGTTTTTGAAAACTTAAGCCATAACACCATCCTATTAACATATTTTAATAGCGATACACTAACCTTCCCTTAGGCTAGTCTACACACACACACACACCCTATTGCAGTGCATTGGTGTGGACAGGGTCTAAGAGGCCCAGGGTCAATAAATATATTATGGCACACATGCTGTCAGTCCCCAACCTCCATCCAGTGCAGACTTCATTAACCAATTATAGCTCTTTTTGCCTGTTAAGCCAGAGATCTGCCATAGAGTCTTTTCAACGCAGTGCTCCAGGTAACCACTAGAAATGGGTCTGAGTTGGAATGCAAGATAAACTTTCATAAGTGTTAGAATTGTAATTCAGATCCAAGTCTGCTTGATTCTCCCGCCCACACACCTCCCAATAGCCTATGCTACTCTAACTGAAGTCCGTGAAACCTGACTTTTTCTCTACCTTACCTCTGGCTTCACCTTTTCACAGAGATAAGCACACTTTCCTCATTTCCGTATTTACTGATGGTGACCGTCTGCCAAATGGCCGTAGGAGCCACATATCACTGTCACTGACTGAATTTGGCTTAGAACAGGATGTTTATCCACTGAGACCTTGCAAAGGCCCACTGCTAGTTTGTCAACCTGCCACACACAGCAGAGACTAAAGGGCTGCTTGGTTTGTGCAGACCTCCTTGGCTTACCTCTATTCCTGTCCCAGAAGCAGGTGGGAACGAAAGCAATCAAACCACACATACCCTCCCCACCCCGCGTAGCCCCAGTCTTCTCCAATGTCCTGAGCCAAAGAGAGCACAGATTCTCTTAAGGGGACCTGAAGTCAGATGGGCAGTATGACAGGGATCTTACAACACCTAAAATCCCAACATATGAAACCAAAAAGAAAAATTTACTGGAGCAGGAAAAATGATTAACACGAAACCACACTGGAAGGCAGCGCTTCTGCTCTCAACCCCTTGTCCTGGAAATGGGTATTTCATGCAGCTGATCTCACCAGGAAGGGCTGGCTAACTGTCTGCATCTTGGGGCCCTCCACTCTGACCTCCATCCAGCTGCCGCCCACTTTGGCTCTTTTCGATAATGACAGCCCTTGTTTGCAGTATTATGGACTCCTGCAGTCCACCTTATAAAAAGGCTCATCGAGCACTCCAGCACCCAGGCTTCGGGGAGCTTGGGAACAGAAGCATGGCAGCCATCGTGGTGCTTCAGGCCAGGAAGCGAAGAGGGAGGGGAGTGGTGGGATTAAGACAGACCTTGACAGCATTTACATTCAATATTTTCATGGCTTCCTCTTACTGCTGCTCACAGTTCAATTGCCAGAAATACAGGTTTCCTTTTACGGTATTAATGTTATAGAAAGTAGCTATATGTCGCTTGGTTTTTTCAACCTGAGTTTGAATTGCTGATTGAATATCATTTGGGACTGATGACAAATGAATAGATTCTTGGCACACCTAACAGTGAAATTGTTCCCCACGTGTCCCTGGATACTAATTACCCCTCAGTCCTTGGGCTACAGCAAAGATAATTTCAATTCTCAAGCTCATTAAGTGACTGTGCTCATTCTGAGGAATTTCGTTCTCTGCCCTAAGATCCATTCCTTTAGATAACCACATGTTCAGCTTCTCAGATAAAATGATAATAAAAACAGATAAAATATTTTAAAATATGAATGACCTCCCTGAAAAATATCATCTTCCAAGGCCACATTTTTTAAAAGGCTGACAATTTATGTGGAAAGTTTAACATTAATAATTCCCTCTCACAGAATGATGTTTAATAATCTTCCCTCCCCCACCTCCTGAATGGAAAACTGAACTATAAGTGAGAAAAAACTGAGCATGTGTCAACTTTAGCTTCTTCAATTGCATGGCCACCAGCAGCTCTGGAGAGAGACATGGCTACCAGGTTTGACCCTGTAGGATCTCCACGGATAGACTCAGCTCCTATTCACCTCACTATGGTGGAAGGATGAGACATTTCCAAGTATATTCACTACTAGACTAGTAGCCTCTCTGAATAATATCATTGTGGCAAGGGCAAATTAATATGTGTCATTTAGGAAACAGTAGAACACTTAATGGAAATATACACCTAGACTAACGTACTAATTTCGCCACTTATTAATTTTGTGATCACCAGTAAATTATTTAACATCTTCAACCTCTATTTTCTCATCTGTAAAATGAGACAATAAATACCATCTCACAGGACTGCAATAAGGATTAAATTATGTAATGGACCAGAAGGATCCTGCAGGGTGCCCAGCACAGAGTAGAGACTCAAGATCTTCTGTGGCTTCTCCTCTGTCAAGTAAGGCAGAGGCAGCCATCCTCTACACGGACATACTTAGTTAGCTGCTATGTCACTGTCTGTATTTGAAATAACACATTTACCACTCTTTGACAAAGACTGTATTTCACATGCCTCACTAATCCAAGCCAATCTTGTCATTTTGTGAGGTTTTCCTGAATTGGTCACCAGTTCTCTAACAGCCTAACTGTTTTTTATGTGGTTTTATCCAATTTAAGCAAATCAAGCATGTTTTAGAAAACTTCAGCCCTTATCTTTCTCAACCTCTGTAGGAGGGCAAACCTCAAAAGCTTTTCTTCTCCCAATTTGATCAATAGGAGCTATTATCTTTGCAGTTTCTCTGAGGATTGACTTTTTGGCACTGATTCTGCAAACCATAAGGTTTTGGTATTTAAGCCTCAACAGTGGGAGTGTTATTTGGAGAGAAGAAAAAAAAAAAAAAAAGCCTGGAATCCTCCTCATTGATAAAAGCCTGTGCTCTCTGAAAGGCTTACTGGTTCATCTCAGCAGTTGGCAGGTAGAGACCCAACGCTCACAGGATACAGAAGCTCTTCCAAGAAGCACCCAGCCACGCCACATCCTGTATCCCTGATTCAGTGATGCGTGAGGTTACACAGGCACATATTAGCAGTCAGCTGTGGTTACAAAGGCCGAGTGCGAGACATACAACTGGCTACCCCAGTGCCTTTCTTGACCAGAGTCACTGAGTCCTAGAATGTTTTGTCTGGGTGATTATACCTGGAATGTTTTACCTCAGTGCCCAGGGCTTACTTACCAAACTGTGTTCTTTGGAGCAATAGGATTTTCTGGAGCTATTTACATGGGGACATTAGAGGATATTGGGAGGACAAGAGTACAAGATTCTAGAACTTCCTTCACAGGGACAACTCTACTTTTATCTGTTTTACGTATTCAGGTGTTGTGGAAAAGGCTCCAGTGCTTAAAAATTTTTTTTTAAATTATGTGATACAATCTCCTCATTTTAAAGATGAAGAAAGTGAGACCCAAAGCAGTCAAGTGGCTTTGCCAAAATCACAGAAGTTCTAAGTCAGACTCAGGCCTAACTGATGGCTTTGAAATAAACCCCTGCTGACTTCTCACTGAGCATCATTTTCTCCTGTCTGTGTCACTAAAATGTGATATGTATCTTTTGAAGCTGAGTTCCAAGAGATACTCAAGAAATTTCTGAATAGCCAGGGTTTAGTTACACAACAGGATGCAGTTTTTTCCTGTGGTAAAAGAAGACCCTCTGCTTGTGATCATTTGCAAGGTGGCAGGGGAGGAGGGGGAGATGCTGATGGCTCTGGGATCTCTGGTATGCAGCGATATTTTACACATTATTTGATGAAGGCTCTTAGCTTTGTTTCCTTCCTCTCCCTGCTGCCTCATGGAGAAGCCCATAGCCAAGTAAATCACCTTACCCAGTGGTGCCTGTTTGAAAAGGTAACATTCTGCTTGTCTTAGAAGGGCAGGCTGACTATGCTCCATCAGCCTGGGCAATGCTCCAGCCCTGCGTCCACAATCACCCCACATGTAGGTCCTGAGTGAGGGTCCTCTCTGCTCTGGGGACTGAGCTTACCTGCTTAGGAGAGAGGAAAGGTAGAACTCCTTCAACTCACCGGGGACAGTCGGGAGTGGAAAATACTTTCTCCTTTCCTTTCCTTTCTTTACCTTTCCTTTCCTTTCCTTTTTCTTTCTTTCTTTTCTTCTCTCTCTCTCTCCCCCTCCTCAGTTCCTGCTATACAAAAACATAAATCATTTTTTCACAAATTATCTGTGAGGACTTCATAATCCTTAGAGACCTCAAATTTGGATTTCTATTGTAATCTCAAAATAATGTTATCAATATAGTCACAAAGAAAGCAGATGGCACAATCCTGCAACTTTAAACTCCTGCTCAATTACTCACCCCATGGCTATATTGTACTATGAAGTCATTTTATTTTATTTTTTTTTGGTAAAACATGTAATTGCTTTGTAAACAGCACAATATTGTACATGCGACAAAGCCATTAATTTGTTGAAGAAAAATTCAAAATATACCAAAGTTTGTGATATGATTTATATTTTTATATAGCAGGAACTGAGAGAGAAGGAGAGAGAGAGAGGAAGGAAGGAAGGAAGGAAGGAAGGAAGGAAGGAAGGAAGGAAGGAAGGAAGGAAGGAAGGAAGGAAGGGAAGGAAAATGAAAAGACAAGAAAGGAAAGGTGCCCAGGTTTTTCAAATGTCCGAGAGGCTCTGCCTGTGCTCAGAGATCTTCTCAAAAATTCTAGAAGGTAGGTACCATTGTTATCTCCATTTTGTGATTGAAGAACCTGCGTCAGAGAAATGAAGACATGTGCCTCAGCTTGCCGGGGAGGGGTTGGGCACCGTGACCAAACCCAGGCAGCCTGACAGCAGAGCCAAAGAGTCCCCAACTGTACCATGTGGGGGGTGTGGAGGGGGTTGAAAGATGAAGCCTCCAGCAGTCCAGAGGTCCCCTGTGGAACTCAAACTTCTGCAGAACATGGTTTGCAAAACAGTACCAGACACCATACTCCTCCCCAGATCAGTCCTAGGTTCATCAATTCTAAAACCCAAAAAGGATGCCAGAAGACATAAAAGGGAGGAGAGGAAATGCTTCTTGAATCACACTCAAATGCCTTTTTTTCCTTTGGAAATACTATTTCCTTCTTTAAATCTATTAAATTAATCTATGGATCACATGTGTTTCTTGTATTTAAAGGAAATATGCTTCACAAAGCAAAGACCTACATCTTCTTAAAGTAAATAAGAATAACCTACATATATTCTTGGGAACTATCTTAAAAACTGTCACACTTGGGCTCTCTTCCACGGAACTACAGAGAATCACTCATTCATTCATTGTGTGTGTGTGTGTGTGTGTGTGTGTGTGTTATCACTTTCTAGGTGTAAGAACTGGGATGAAAAGCTTGACCTGGTCCCTGACACCTCCAGAACTTAGGGTCTAGTGGGGGAGGAGTGTAGGAAGGCAAATAGGCAGTTACAGATGGCGTGATGGCATGATGGCCTGACAGGGTGGTTCCCCATCCCACTAGCCACCCCACCCTCATCCCAGGCTAAGAATACTAAGAGTCCTGAGTAATATATCACAAGAAAAAATATGATGCACAGCTGAGATTGAAAGAGAGAAAAGGAAATTCTCAAGTGCCAGGAAGGATGAGATTGGTCAGCGGAAGCCGATGCTGAAGGTGCCCACGAATACATGCCCTCTGGACTGGGGTCTGCAGTTTTCATGCTCATTTAAAAATCAAAGATGTGGCCCTAGAGAGAGGGAAATCCCAGCTGCCTGCAGAAAGCCTTTACTAGGGCCTGGGAGGGCTACCCTATCTATGGGAAGGGGTTGGAAACACTTCCTCCGATGGTCCAGAGAAGCTGCTGGGCCCCCCTTGTAGTCCATACAGGACTTGGGTGGGATGGGGGAAAAAGCCTCCACAAGATATCAAAATGGTGCATGAAGACCAGAAAGGTCCTGTGTAACCCTTCACCCAGTTTCTCGCAGTGGTGGAAGCTTACAGAATAATGGTAAAAATATTATAACCAGGAGTTTGGCCTGATTACAATATGTGCATATAGTTCCGTCCCTTCATCACATATGTAGATTCATGTAACCACCACCACAGTGAAGGTAAAGAGCTATTTCATCACAACACAGAGCTCCCTCATGCCACCCCTTTACAGTCCCATCCAGCCCCCTCCTCCCAACCATTCCTAACCCCTGGCAACCACTAATCTGTTTTCCATCTCTAGAATGTTGTTGTTTCCACAATGTTATATAAACGAACTCGAACAGTATGTGACCTTTTGAGACTGGCTTTTTTCACACAGCAGAATGCCCCTGAGATCCATCCAGTGTGCTGTGTGTACCATTCATTTGTCCCTTTCTGTCGCTGAGCACTATTCCATGGTATGGACATACCACACTTTGTTTAACCATTCGCCTGGAACACTTGGTTGTTTCCATTTTCTGGCTACTACAAGTAAAGCTGTTAAGAACCCACTCACAGGCTTCTGTGGTAAATTATTTATTTCAGTAAGAAGGAAATTGAATCCAGAAGGAAGGAGTTGTATGCCAGAAGCAATAATAAACAAATAAATTAGGAAATACATTGAAATTTTTAAATAAGCCTTGGCTCTAAAAATAAATATACAATAAAAGGTACAAGAGAGGTAAGCAGAGAGTTCTAAGACAGCACTGGGGAAGAATGCATACCCAAGTTTGGGGAGGAAGAACCCCCAAAGACAGGGAGAGGTCCTTTGAAAGACCGTTCCAGGCTGAGAG